AAAATTAATAAAATATAAATATATAATTAATTGAGTTGATGGTTACTAAAAGAAATAACTGGTTCAATTCTCAACTAATCAACACCCTTGTTAAGAGGGTGTCATTTGCACTTCCCTTCTAAAATATATTGAAAGACAACCAAATCATGGTTGATGCGACAAACTCTTCATTATAAGCGAGACAAATCTATATTACTCGAAAAGGTGTTTGGAAAAACAAACAATTAAATAATTTTTTAACATTGCTTAGATGAATACTTATGTTATTAAAAACTAAAATTTTAGTATTTTTAAAACAAAAGAATTCATTATATTTTAATTAAGACTAAAGCATTTTTTTAAATATAATGGCTTAGAGTTACAATCATCAAATAGGAATGTCAAAAAAAAAAAAAAAAACCGCCGGTGAATGTTAAAAATCGAACAATTTGGGTCGGGTTCGATTACATCTTAACTGGGACGGAGGCGATACTCATCGACCGGCCTAGCCCGGCCCCATGCTTTATATATATATATATATATATATATATATATTATAAAACATTTGACAAAAACTCTTAAAAAAATATTTCTTATGCATAAAATAGTGTTCATTGATGCATATTACTTAAAATTCAATATTACAAATAAATCGTGCGTTAATACAACTCGAAAACCAAAAATTCAGGTCGGATTTGGGGACATTTTAACGGGGATGGGGACAGTACTCATCCACTCACCCCAACTGGATATTATATACAAATGTGAGTTATTATGCAACCATTTACATTTATACAACCAATACAACTCAATCACAAACCGTTCATTTAATTTGATGAATATGTGATTTCATAAAAGTTTAGATTGCTTCCTAATATAAAATATTGATCATAATTAATGAACTCTAGTCATCTTCTATAAATATTCAAATCATAATAAATGAACTTTCATCATTTTCATAAATATCTTAATTGATTGGATTATATTGGTTATACAAATATGATAAGTTGCATTTAAAAATCCTCTGTATATATTATACATATATGCAAACCCAAAATCCCTTTGGGCTAAATATATATACAAGAGACTTTAATGTGAAAGCTCAAACCCAAACTACAAGGCCTAAATCCTATTTCTATTTATAGTAATCCTTTTGGGTTAAATATACACAAAAAGACTATAATATGTTCAAATGAACTATTTTGGCTATTTTGTCATGATTTGTTCCCGAGTTGTTGATGTTTCAATTTTTGTTTTAGAAATTTGCGTTTTTTTTTTCGGTTCAGTTTCAGGTATAACCAACGGATAACGATGATTTTTATCCTTAACGGGTTCCCCAACGGGAATCAGAGAAACCACATGAACCCGATAAAATATTCCCGATAAGATCCTTGATGGGGATCAAACCGATTATAAGAATGGTTATAGTTAACAGTTTCGTGGACGGAGACATTAAAAACCGAAGGTTGCCATTCCTATCATCAAAGTAAATGGTGTCTCCAATGAGGATATGAAATTAATGAAAATGCCATAAAAGATTTATGCGTCAATGGAAAATAAAGAGTTGAATGAAAATTTGGTCCCTGTGGTTTGAAAAAGATATGGATCGTGTCCCCTAAACATATTAATTATATTGGTGGTCTTTAGATTTTTAGTTGTATTTTTTTATCTTATAGATACATAAATAAAAATGTTTATATTATAAAATAGATATATGTTAATTAATACATTAAATAAAAGTATAGATAAAAAAATATATATAAAATAACACATGATACATCGGTTTTTAAGAGGATCATAATTTTAGGGTTATAAAATAAAGGTCAACTCTTCCAAAAATTAAGGAAAAGACAAATAAACTTTCATATTAGAGATATATGTATTTATATAACGATTTTTTTCCGTAACGATATTAACATCAAGAACCTATTTTGTAATGAAATGTAAAATTTAGAAATCACCCAATTGATAGATAAACTTAAGGGAGCAATCCAAAAATTTGTGTAAATCAAAACTCAAAATAAAAATATGAGTAAATTATGATTTTAATCCTTATGGTTTGTTTATAATTTTAATTTCAGTCCTTATGGTTTATAATTGTCATTTTCATCTCCATGATTTTTAATTTATTACTATTTTTATTGCTAAATAATTCCTATTATTACTATAAGGGACCGAAAGGTAAAAAAATTAAAGGATGAAAATAATAATAAATTATAAATTATAAGAACAAAAATAATAATTAATTATAAGACGCACAATTTCTAAATCATGAAGACAAAAGCTTTAATAAATCACATGGACTAAAACCGGAATTTACTCTAAAAATATATAGTTGGCATGCGCAGGTTAGCCTGGTTAAACTCCACAGTGAGCGCAAGTTAGCAGGATTATTCACTCCCTCAAACTCTACCATCATCGTTTCCGCTGCTTCAACCTTTTTTCCCATCCGTCCGGCATCCGCTGAAATCTTCCGTTGACAATTCTGTATATTTCCGGTAGAGAGGGCGCACAACTCCAAGGAGCCAACGATGACGGAGGCGTTCATAAGGAACAAGCCAGGGATGGCGAGCGTGAAAGATATGCCTCTCCTTCAAGACGGTCCTCCTCCCGGCGGTTTTGCTCCGGTACGATACGCACGGAGGATCCCTTCGAAGGGACCCAGCGCCGTCGCTATCTTTCTCGCCGCTTTTGGAACTTTTTCTTGGGGTATGTACGAGGTCGGCAAGGGCAACAAGATCCGAAGGTAATTCATTTTCGTTGAATTCGTTTTCCCCAAAACCCTTGGTATTCCTTTTTCTAAATAATTGATCGATCGATTAGCTATGCGATTAGGTTGTTAGTTGAAAGTTTCAATTTGATAATCAAAATGGAAATGGAACTGCGAACTTGATTAACCTAACATAAGATTGTATGAAATTGCTGATAAATTCATGAAATGGACGTGGATGCCATTTAGGTTTAGATATTACAAATGGAGGTACTTCGTGGTTCCAATTAAGCAACCTGCACTGAAGTGGTTTGTTTTGGACTTACAAAATTGATATGGATTTTAATGTTTTCAACAATAATATACAACTACCCACAACAATCTTTGCAAGTTGTAACTTATTCTTCACTAGTGGGTGGCATGTTAGTTTTGCATTTGAAGAATTAACAGTCTCATGCCTTTTGATGTTAAACCTTTAAACTGGATCTTCTTTTCAGTAGGACACACTAGGGGATTTCTGATTAAGCGAGAAGATTTGTATCTACTAGCCTTAACTACATTGGAATGGATCATTTTTAGCGATTCTTCCCTTTATGATATCCCTTGTATAGGTTAATGTGGAGAATGGACCAAAACGCTAGATCAATGAATGCTCGCCCCTCCCCAATTCAAACGAAAAAGAAAGAAACTAATATAGCAGTGTTTCACCTGGTTGTTTCCCTCGGAGACAAAATGTAGAATTTTAAGCATTCTCTCCCATAATACAAGTTTAGCCTTTACTTTATGGACCTTAGAGCTTCTAATTGGAATAATGAACCTAAAATTTGCGAGATCTGAACTGTGTCCTGCAATGACCACATATACATTTTGCAATGACCACCGATCAGAAAAGTTTGAAGTATATGTTGAGTATATGGAGTGCTATTTTGTAGCAAAGACTCGAACCTTGTGGCATGATCTGTCGAAAGGCGATCATGTATGTGAAGTTATCAATGTTTTATGTTTTAGAGTAAGAAGTGATGTGTGCTGTTTTAATCTTCATTATCCCATAGTTCACTGCCTTTTCTTGTGTGGGATCACTTCAAAATTTGTTTACTCTTTTAACTGACAGTCATTTCACATGATTGGGCTTCAGTCTTACAAGCCGTGTTTGTGTTTTGCTTTAATCAACTATCTTGTGAGTGGAGTTCAAATTCGGATGTAACCTTATTTTAAATAATGATACAAAGCTTTAACAATCTTGTGTTTGGTTCGTTAGACTGACACCCAACCTATGTTGTGTGTATTTGTGTCCACATGTTAGTACTCTCCGTTTATGCTTTGTGTTTCTTCTTTACCTTAATTAGAGTAATTACGGAGTCTCACTATCTTAGATTCATTGAAATGATTGTCACTGAAAGAACTTTGTGTTTGTAGCATCTCAGCATTAGTCAACCTACCATAAGATGCTTGTTATTGTTTATTTTAAAAGCATATAGTTATTACATCGTCCTGTCCGATTAATAGAAACACCAAAACAGATCATTTTTCACCAGTGTGCTTGCAGTGCTGCTCTTAAATGTTTCCACTTCTCTCATCATCATTCTTATCCAAAGCGAACGAGACAAGTATACATTGAGCGTTCCCTTTTCCCAATGGGTGTAAAAACCTAAGAGAAAAAGGATTGCATAGAAACAACTTTGGACATATTCCATACCCGGATTTAGAGATGAGAAAGTATCATGGAATATTACGGGGTAGCTACTTAATGATGAGGGATTTTTTAAAGTCAAATGGGATTAATTTCATTTTGCATCACTTTATTCATCGTTTGATCTTGGACAACCCACACCAAGGTCTTTTATCTGTAATTTTGTAATGATGGATTTTTTACTATTGTGCACCTCAACTTTATCTGCACTGCGCTTGTCTAGCAAATTATTTGCACCATACTTAACGACACTTGTCCTCAGATTAATATTCTTCTCATAATTCAGTTACTACTTAAAAGTTTTGTGTTCCTCCAATGACTCTCTGTATCTGAACCATGAGAGGACTTGCAGCAGTCCTTGGTGCTGCATTACTCTTGTCTTGGGTTACCTGCATGCTAGCAAACTTTGTGAAGTCTATGTTGTAATACTTGTTGGGGGATCAGCATTATCTATGTAGTCTTCTACACTTGTATAATTTTTTGAATCTTCATAACTAGAAGGAAGTGTAAGATCATTATGTTCTTCAAATTCGTGATGAATACCAAGGTCAAGAGCTTATAGGAAATTCCTATAAACTAATAAATGTGCTTGTAATGTAGGGCAATAAAGGAGGAAAAATATGCTGCCCGTAGGGCAATTTTGCCGATGCTTCAAGCAGAAGAGGATGAAAGGTATTATTGTGTATCTCTAGTCTTCTCCTTCCAAGTGAACCACATGTAATTCGTTGTTATTATTATTGATGTGTAGATTTGTGAAAGAATGGAAGAAATATCTGGAGGAAGAGGCTCGGATAATGAAAGATGTGCCCGGGTGGAAAGTTGGCGAGAGTGTGTACCACTCTGGAAAATGGATGCCTCCTGCAACTGGCGAGCTCCGTCCTGAGGTCTGGTGAAGTCCTTGGATGCATAAATGCCAATTCATGTTGTTGCAAGGGAAGGCACTTCTTTATAATAAAATCGCAGTTGAATCACATATTTCTAAATGTTAAATGAGCTTCTGTTGTTTACATCTATGGGCTGCTTTCTTCTAAACATGCTGCCATGGTACCTGAATTCATTTGCTGTTTCTGATTCTGTATGGGTTTTTGGTAATCTGCCATTGAACTGCACGCACCCTCTTCGGTTTTATGATAAAAAGTTTTCATGTTCTTCATTTTGGCTTTATCTTGATAAACATCTAAACTTTCACGGCAACGGTACGTCAATGTCATGATCACGTTGGTTGTGGCGCAGTGATTAAGCCTCAGAGGGATGTAGTGCTAATCCTCATCTACCCTGGGGTTTAAATCCAGGCGCTACCGAAACTCTTGTGGCCATGGAGGTTCATCAGTGATGACTCCAAGCCATTCGTGGACGGTCGGGGATTAGTTGGTGCACATAAGCCGGCTCGGAAACCCATTGTTACAAAAAGAAAAAAAAACAATGCACAGTGTTCATCATATAGGCAATGCAACCCTATCTGCATTATTTCGAAAGAACATGTCCTTTGTTTTTGGGTTGTTGATGCTTTAATGAGTTTAGTATTATAGGAGGTTGTTTGAGCTCGACTTGAAAAATTAACAATTGAATCACGCATTATGAACTCAAATGTAGGCTCCATGAGCCTGTTTATGGAGTTGACATCAATTATTGGCTTGAGCATCAAGCCTAGCGATCGATAGCATCAATTTTTATGTTTTGATTTTATGATTTATTAATATGTGCGACTTGTTATTTTAGAATTTTATGGTATTAATCGACTAATACCATAAAAGTATAAAATTATGGAAGTAAAAGAATATAAATGAAATTTTATAAAGTTGCATTTAAAAAAAAATTAAGATTAAATTTGTTTTGATAGTTTGTAAAATCAGGGTCCTGAAGGCGATTTGAAACTGTTCATTGTTCAACCCTGTACAAAACGGGCCACCATCTCTAATTCTATTAAGCTATTCTCTCCTTCTATTATTTAAATAATTTTTCGATTTCCTTTTCTTTAATTTTAGATATAATTATTCAACCTATGTGATTATTGATATACTGTTGTAAGATTTATTAATTAAAAAAAAGTACAAATTATAAATATTGTATTAAAGAATTGTTTCATGGTAAAGAAATATGTTATTAGGTCCACCATTTTTAGTGTTTGCTTAGTGTTATCATTGAAGTTGTTTCAATGTGTCTACTTTTGTTTTTCTTTATTTTTATTTGTGTTTTACAAATTTAACTTTAGGTTATGATTTTACGAATTTATCTAATTACTCGCATAGTCTTGGATCCGCACATACATGTCATGGTTAAACCAGAAGCTGTAAAATTGTTCCAAGTTTTATTTTGAATTCTTGTGAAGATATGTGATTTTTAAGATCTAATATGAATTTAAATTGTCTAATAGTATTACATGTGTGTGTATATAATTATATATAGGGTATAAATTTGTCGCATCAAGTCTCACCTTGAAAAAATGTCGTATGATTGTTGTGGCGCATATGCGTTACACTATATTATATTTCACACCATTTATAACCTTATATCAAATACATATGAAAGAGCTCGCAAAACAACTAATTTTGTAACTTTTCTTTAGTAAATATTAGAAAAAAAAGATGTTCAAAAGAGCATGATTTGTGATAGAACCCTATCTATTCTAATCATTTTAATAATTAATAACAAATAATAGTAACACCAGCATATTAATCATTTTAATTCTAATCATACATTTTGAGACAATCAGAGGGATAAAGACCACCAGGGTTGGATTTAGGAATGTAAAATCGATCCTCCCTTATTGACCAATCACAATCGTTTTTGAAGCCACGTTCTCTTCTAAAACATATTCCAGGAGACGATTCCCCATGACTAAATACATCAAACGCTTGTTGCTTTTCTTTCCCATTGAAAATGACAAAAATAGAGCGTCGTTTTCCACTCATTCAAACAAAACTTTATGTCATATTCCTCTCCAGCATTCCGAGCAACGTTCTCGAGAGCGTCATCTTTCGACTGGCAATGAAACTCTAGATTGTTGACCTCACTTTCGATATGATCTCTGTACCAAGTCATGAAGCACATTTTATTTTTGTATCGACTATGGATATCATTGTTGGCATGCGTTGGATCTAAAATGCTAAAAAATATCATTTGATGACAAGTTTCCCATCTCAAAAATCAGTTTCGTAGCATTTATGATATATAATAATATAACTAAATTCAAAAATAGTCAATATTGAGCTCATTTTACATGTATTGAAGAGATTATTATAATAATGTAATTTGTTTGAAAAAAAAACGTATTTTAGTTAATATACCATTATGTATGTTAATATTATAAGGGTGTAAAATAAAAATTGAAAAAGTAAGAGATATAAAGTATTTAACTGAACATTTATAATAAATATAAGTTACTGTTATTTTTATTTTATATCGATCAACCAAAGTAGCAGATTAAACTAAATAAAATTGATATACGAGAAACATAATCGACGAAACGATATATTATATGAACTGCAATTTGACATCCTAAACGGATGCACTAAAAGAACTTAAACAAGAAAAATAAGATGTTTGCATACTTATTTAAAATATTTTATTTCTTCAAATAATTAAAAGGATATTAAGAGATATTTCTAATTTATTGTCAGAAACATATTGATGGATAAGTTTTCCGAATGTTTTTATTTTTATTTTTGATTCCAATCATATTGCTTAAGCCACGTCGATCGCCGGTGATCAAAGAAGTAGAATCCATCTTGCTTGACCGCCCAGTTACACGTATTCGTGTCACTAAAACCATGATCGCATGCCGAAGCCATGGTGATGTTGAACACATCAAACGTTCGTTCAACCATTTGTCGATTAAAATGACAAAAATAGAGAGTACTCGTCATGATATTCTCGCAGAAGGACCATCCATAGTGAATGTTTCTAGAATTAAGTACATGAACTCCAAGATCTGTATCTTTTGACTGACAATGCACCTCGACATTATCGAAAGTCATTTCTGTTATTATGTCTACGACATATCCTTTGGTTAAGAAACACACATTTGCAGCATTAAGAAGATTGAAAGCTAAAACCATCAATAGAAAGAAAGAGAGATTTTTCATCATTATGTGTAACTCAAAGACCAAAGAAAAGATATGCATATACATCAACATACATACATATATATATATATATATATATATATATATATATATATATATATATATAGGGGGTTGGTTCATTTGTTAACCGTATATTTGATGTTAACTATCTGAACCAATCATGACATTTAATTTATTTGATCTATGGACTAAAGCATCAAGTGAAAATTTTATAATAATAGTAAAATGAACGTATGCTATGTCGTAATGAACAATACTGAACAAGATAAAATTGGAAAAGATCAGGAGTTTTTATTTTGCACCGGGTTCAATTTCGAGAATCTCTCCTTCATCCTTTTGAAATCGAAATCAATAACATTTTACTTGTTCACTTGTAAATGGTTTATTAGTTCATCAATGAACATTTATGTGAGAACTAATAGAAGTCGGTTACGAAAATTGTTCACTAATGAACCTTTGACCGATTAATTGTGTATTAATGTATCTGGTTCACAATGAACATCATGTGAACTGGTTCACTAATGAACATATCATTCAAAACAACTAAAATAAATAAATCATTTGAATCAATATGTTGAATGGTATTGTGTTCATTTTGATTATTATCATTCAAATTAATTTGAACATAATCATTGAGAATATTGAAAGGATGATATAATTATCATCCTTAAAAACAATTTTTTTTTTTTGTAACTCCCATTTAATACAATGAAGTACTTACAAATAAAAATTACATATGTACCATTTAACATTTAAAATGATATCGACTAAAGAGTGGTTTTTATAGATATAACGAGTCCAMAAAATTAACACCATTTTTTTGTTAACAAATTTCCCCCCCATATGTATACATACATATATCATTTAATGTGTAATATTATTATGATCCACTATATTGCTCCATTATACTTTTTCCTATTTGATTTGTCATTAATATAGATAAATATACAGAGAGGAGGGAGTTTAAATGAGAACATACCTGTTCTATAAAAATACGAGAACAATTTTGAGCCTCAAAATTATTTAATTATAATTAAAATTTTAAAAAAAAGTAAATAATTAAAGATAATCATGTGATTTCGTAAGTATCTGTAATGATCTTTGTGACTTCCTTATCCTTAAAATTTTGTGCAGATAATATACTCAACGATCACAATATATCAAACCATTATCATATTACTATCACAATAAAATCACATAGTTAACACAGAGCAAGTGGACGTGATCATCACTTGTGGTTTTCGATTATCACATTGTTATAGCAAAATTATATAATTATCAGATTATTATCACAACAAAAGTGCGTCATAAGAAGTTTTCGATTTATCAAAACATTATCAAGTTATTGTCACAACAAAATCATATCACTATCACAAAATTATCCGTCATTATTGACAAATGAGGCATCAACATAAAAAGTATATACTAGCAACATTTAAGGGAGTCAAAGACCTTCCAGCCTAGTGGTAAAGGCTTGGGCATGACATAATCATGAACCCAAGTTCGAGCCCTGGAAGGGAAGTGTTGGCGACTTTAAGTGGGACCATGTTTAGCCTCCAAATTTGCCGGAAATTAGTCGGGCTTTGGCCCGGACACCCTTACAAAAAAAAAAAAAAAAAAAACATTTAAGGGATAAGAACGAATCTAAGGAAACATAAAATTATTGATAAATACTAATTTATGTTCATTTATTCTAATTTTTATTATTTGTTAATTAATTTGGAGACCCAAAAGTGTTCTTGCATTTTCGTAAAATATGGGTATTCTCGTTTGGACCTTCGTACATACATACATACATACATACATACATACATACATACATACATACATACATACATACATACATACATACATACATACATACATACATACNATACATACATACATACATACATACATACATACATACATGAGTTATATCAAATGAGAACCACAAATATGTTACAAACCCGTGAGAACCGGTACAAAAATATCTTTTTACATGACATTTTTATTATGAAATGTTAGGATTTAAAATATTGTTTCACAATATGATAGTTTTACATGTATTTATTTCACAATGTGAAT